CATCTGACAGACAGTGTAAATAATCCTTTACAAGATCAAGAACCGAAGGAACTAGTTCTTGATGTGATCAAATTTATTTCTGCGTAAAGTGATCATGTCTTTGATTAAACTCTTCCAGAACGTACTGATTATGACTCCTCTTATAGAGCACCCCTTGTTGCCATTTAAAATATACTGGTACTTCAAAGACTTTATGATTCCATGCATTACAACAAGGTTCCCTGGACCGTTGGAAAATAAATACAGTCAAGATATCACAATTCCTACAATTTATTTAACAGTGGTAATGATGAGTGTGACGATTATGCCAACCTAGAATGCTTACTGCCAAAGATGTTTTCTTTGTTTCAACTGGTCAAGCTGGGTCAAACTGCCAGCAGAGCTGAGAAGGGACTACATTTAGATTTGTGCTGCTATAAGATAGAACGCTTTTCTCTGGTATCACTCCCTGCAACATTACGTTACAATGTTTGTAGCATTAGTTATAGACACCCCAAAATGTCAGACATTGCTGCACTCTTTGCAACCGTGTCTAGCTTTGTGGTAGGACTCAGTTCAATTATTCAATCAATTCAATTAACTCCTTTTATTTAGAAATGATCCACAACAGATTTTTCTCAGGGCACTTTTTGTGAAATAACAAAAAAAAAATAAATAAATAAAAATGTATCCAATCATATAGGCACATTTAAAGTTAATTAAATACACTCCAACTTGATTACAGTTATAAAACAATACAATCCAAAAAAGAAAAATTGGTTATGTCTTTCTAAGGGAAAATTTCCGACTGCATCGAGTCACTGAGTTCTCCCCACAGGAACAGTTAGCAATAGTAAACAACCACTTGCACTGAGCTGTTAGGTTTAAAAGGCAAGGCAAGGCAAGTGCATTTGAAAAATAGAGTAGCAGTACAATTCAAAGTGTTGTTCATGAGGGAAGAAAAAGTAACGTACATTGCAGTGGCATAAAGGTAACACAAATAATTAAATGATAGAAAAATTTTTTATGAAAGTTGGACTAAAAATGTAATTAATTATTTTTAGATTTCACAGTCAAAGGCCACTCTTAAGGGACATATTTTTATCCATTAGACTTAGAAAACTTTATTGCCATTTTGTATAAACAGTGTGTAAAAAACGAAATGTTTATACATACAGCTTTCCAACAGGAAAAGAGCAGCTTAGCAGTAAAATGGACATTTGCATTTATAAAGTTATAAATATATATTTATAAATATTTGGAAGGTTAAGATTAGTGCTAAAATTAAATAAGGAGATATGGTGCAAAATGCAGTAGAAACGCTGAGTTGAGTTCTATTTTGAAGATTCACCATGTAGTGCAAGTATGATGTTATCAGTGTAATGCAGATACTCGAATTGTGATGTGATTAGTTTTCAACAGTTCAACAGTCTTATGGCAGTGGGGGGAAAAGCTGTTACAGAACTTGCTAGTGCTGCATTGAATGCTGCGAAGCATCTTCCCAGAGGGCAGCGGGGAGATCAGTCCATGGTGGGGGTGTGAGGGGTCATTAGTGATGTTACGGGCTCGGGACACTGGGATGAAATGTCTTTTATGGAGGGTAGAGGAGCCCTGATGATCCTCTCTGCTGTTCTCACCATGCATTCATACCAAGGTAAGGTTTCAGCACATTTATGGTTTTCTGATAGTTTATTCCAGATTAGAAGTGGATAAGAACTAAAAACTGTTTCTCTGTGTTTGGTTTTGGGTCTGGGTTTGTGAAGTAGATTAGAGCCAAAAGGACCTGAGAGGTCTTTCATGTATTTAGGTGCTAAACCATTCAGTGATTCTTTTAGACTAACAAATGTTTTCTGTGAGATATGGGGAGCAGTGCTTTAGAAATGGGTGACGTGCTCCACTTTATTTGTTTTGTTGAGGATGTATTCTATTCAATTCTACTAAAGATGAACGCATTGAATTAGTTTTTCAAGATCCTGCTCAGACATTAGTCCTTTAGTCCTGGAGATTTTTATTAGGTAATAGAAGGCAGATTTTCCTGCTGCCTTTACGTGCCTTTGAAGTTGAGGTCTGAGTTCATCACTACACCCAGATGTTGAGTCTGATTAGTGGTTTCTAGCTGCATTAACTAAAGCTGTTTTCTAACTTTTAAAGGCTCTTTCTCTGATCCAAAGACATTACTGTAAGTTTGGTCTGATATTTTAATGCATTGTTTAGGATACATATGATTGTGAACGCAGTTTGTTTAAACTGTTATTTTAACATGGAGAAAACCCTGACCCAAATAAATGTTGAGTTATTTTTAGTTAGATTGTTGTATCACAGTAAAATATGAACTCTTTTTACTGCTTTTCACATATCCTTACCAACAGTGCTAAAAAATGTGTCTGCATAATACATTTATTAACTAGATTTGCTTTAACTCGCACAAACTAAGAATGAAAAAACAGGAAGTTGTCTGTGATAAATTGCCTGTAATTGATTGACTTTTCTCAGGAGTAATACAGACGACTGATATCTGAATCTTTTGTACCTAATCAGTACCACCACCACTGCTCTCCATCTCCTTGACTTGTTCCCTTTTCTCTTGCTAAAAACAATGAGTTCTAACTATGACCCAGCTAACAGAGGATGTGGCTGTGGACTGTATGGTGGTTCAATGGATAAACAGCTCAGAGCAGGCCTGCTTTAGTAGACATGCAACGTGTGTGTGGAGATCAGAAAGGCACGTTCGTGTCATGTGTGCCTGTCCTCTGACCTCAGCAACCAGACCAACACATTTTAAATCCCAGATGAGTTCCCTGCAAAGAAAGCCAATAATTTAGTTCCTTCTCACCTCAACTAGTACCTACCTGTAGAAATGAAATTGTACCCTTATTACCACTCTAGCTTATTTGTTCCCAAGGACTTATCTCATGTAAATTTAACTGAAGTTAATGGACATGTAATTTTCTTTGCTTTGTTTTTAGTGTTTAAGAAGATTCAGGTCTGGAAAAGAGCCAGAGCGTTTCCAACTCCCCTCAAAAAACTTTTGTTTTGTCTGTGGCTTTTTCATTTTCCCCATAGGCTAGTTCTGTGTTGTTTTATGTACGTGTCCCTTGTTGTTTCTTCCATGTGGTTTCTTTGTCTTTCAGCCTCTTATCTCTTTGTTTCTTCCCTTGCTCTCCTTCTATTTTCTTTCCCCCGACTTCCTGCTATCTCTCCCCCTCGCTCACACCCTCACTCAATCTCTTTCTCTCCCCCCCATCCTTCCCTCCCTCACGCTCACTCTCATTCCCTATCTCCCCCTCTGCCCTCCTCCTCACCCCCCTCCGCACCCCTTTCTCTCTATCTTTTCTCATTCTCGCAGCACTCCCAGCTGCTGATGATTGATCAAGGTTTTCAAGGTTTGCCCTTTCCTGTTATTTAGCAGGAAATGTTTATGCACAGTTCTCAGTCTTGCGGTCACAATTGGCATGTGTCCACACTGTGTTTGTTGTGCCATCCTGCCTGCACCTATTCCTGCTTGTCTTATATCCACTTTTTTTTGTATGTTCGTAAGTACAGCAAAGGTAAGACAATGTAAAAGAATACCTGTCTAAATCATGAGGTTCATCATTAGTGGCCACATCAGTTCTCAGCTGACAGGTAGAGCGCTCTGCCGCACCATTTCTCAAAGAAATCTGGAAGTTCAATAGTTAATGTCTTCCCTTTGCTGTTTTTTTTTCCTTTTTTCCTCACTCTCTCTGTTTCTCCTTTTTTCTCTCTCCATTCCCTTTGCTCACATCCTTCCACCTCCACCTCCTCTCCTTCACTTCTTTTCTTTTCTCTTGCTGATGGACTCTTCTTTTTTTCTTTTTTTCTTCTCCCACTCCCATCACTGTTTTTTTTTCTTTCCTCCACACACCCTGCTCCTGTTTTCAATGCATTTTCTTTCAACTCACTATCTGTCTTTCCATCCCCACCTCTTCCCCAACCCACGCCCCCCCTGTCCTTTCTTCCCTTGTCTTTTATTCTTTTTCTTTCTTTCACCACATCTTTTCTTATACCCCAGCCTCCTCCTCCTGCTTCTCCTACAGTTCTTCTTTCCTTTCCTTCTCCTTTTTTACTGCATTCTATTTTTCCCTCCCCCACACCAATTCTTTCCTCTTTCCCTTTTTCTTTCTGTCCCCCCCCTTTGCTTCCTCCACTCAGCTTCACTCCCCCTCCTTTTGCTTCTTTCTTCCTTATTCTTTCCCCCCCATGTCTGTCTCCTTCCCTCCCTCTCTCCTAACTGCTTTTCTCTCCTTTCTTTTTCTACTCCTTTCTTTTGTCACTCTGTTGTTTTCCTCCTTCTGAATTTCCCAGGCAGTATACTTTATACTTAATTAGTTTGGATAAAGAACTCCTCTCTTTCCCTAAAAAAGTTGAAAAATGTCAGCTTTTCTTAGACATTATCTGTCTGTCTGTGTTGTCACTGTCATACGTACCTCCACCCAATGCGTCCCTGAGTGTTTGCGAAAGTCTACAATGTCTCTGAGTGTAAGTGTGTCTAAATCCATTATATATATACAGGAAGAGAGACAGAGAGATGGATATATAGATTTTATGTATCTATACATATGGAAAAGATAAATATAGAGATTGATAGATAAAGAAATATAGATTTATGTGAGTGGAGAGTGTTAATCTTAGCATATGCTCATATAAAAAATGGGGAAATGCAAAGTATGAAGTGTGATCAGAACAAGATAGTAGCTGCCAAAGAGAAATGTGTGTTGAAGGGTCATGTTGAATTGTACGTAGTGAGGAAGGGAGATAAGATGTGTGTGTGTTTATGAGGGAAAAGAAAAGAGAAAAGTGAGATGGGAAGGAGAGGGTGGGAGGAAGAGAAAGAAATGGGGTGATGCTGTGTGTTTGTGTGTTGGGGTGAGAGGGGGGGGGGCAGGCACAGACAGTTCTGATAACAGCAACAGTAGGAGGAGGATGAGCCGTGGGACCGCCCCACTCTCCCTCAGATATAAATAGGAGGTGGATTTTTTTACTCCACTCACTTCTCCTGAAGAATGAGATCCCTGAAACACCTCAAACATCACTCCAGGAGCAATGTGGTAAGTTTGGGAGCCTGGGGGACACACTGGGGAAGGTGTAGTTGTTTTCTCAGAGAGAGGCATGGCAGGGCGATAGGGACTTTTTTGTTTGCAGTTTGTCTGTGACGTGTTTACACTCGTCCTGTCTGCGCTCTTAAGTTGAAGTTATAGGAAAGAAGAGAGGATTGACTTTACACGCGTGGCATGAGGGCTGTGGGACCTGTTTTCTGACAGAGCTCCTTTCTAATTGTTTGTCCTTAGGTGTCTTTCAGTCTTGCAACTTTAAATGTGAAAGTGCGCCATACTCACAATAATTATCCCTATCTTCCCCGTCTACTTGTCATTTGTCTTTTTCTCTTTCATTTTTGTCAGCTTTTCATTTGGCTGTGCTTTTTCTTCACTCTACAGCCCTCCCTTCCTCCTTCACCTCTTCCCTCTTACTCACTCTGTCTTTCTGTCTCTCTTCGGCTGCCCCCCTTACCACCACCACCACCCCTCCATACACTCACACCCCCCTTCTCCTTTTCCTTTCTCTCTTCACTCCTCTCACACGCTCACTCAATCTCTCCTTCCCCTTCCCTTCCCTCCCTCCCCTCTTTTCTTTATCTTTCAGCCCCTCCATCTCATTTCTCTCTCTGTCTCCCTCCCTCCACTCCCTCCCTCCCCCGCCCACAGCTCTTTCTCCTTCTCTTCATACCTCCCTCCCTCTTTTCTCTTTCTTTCTCTCACACACACATGCTTTCAAACACACACCCAGTCTCTTTCCTTTTCGTTCCTTACAAACACACAGTCTGTCTCTGTCTGACTACTTTAAAAGCAGTAATTATAAATGACGTGGTTATCAGGGCATCCAGGTCTACTCCCCTCACCCATGCCCACACACACCTTTATTCCTTCTCTTTATCTCTTCTTCATTTCTCTGTCTACTCTTTTCTTTTTCCTTCACATGGTGTCAGGAAAGGGAAGCAGCTCTTTCTTACACGGCAGAGTGAAAGCTGTGGAGCCCTGCCTGCAAAAAAAAAAAGAAACAACATAGAGGGTCAGAACTTCTCAGAAACATTTTTCACTTAGCCTGATCCTTCCCAATATAAAGCGCGACATCAAGTCTTCATATGAAACAAAGGGCCAGTTTGATTGCTGCTTGGTTTCTCCAAAACATGACCATGAGGATCTGAAATACTATTTATAAAGTCTAGTTTTCTTTATTCGCCTGGAATACAGAATAAGTTCAGAGTTCAGTTGAAAATATAACCTTGATATAGAAGTGTAACTGTTAAATTGGTCACTGTGTTAAGACAATCAATGAGACGGTTTGCTCCAGTGATGGGACGGTCAAGCCAGGCTGTCCCAGGACCCCACAGGAAGTGCAGAGGACAGTCCACGGAAGTCAGTTTCCTGGCCAGGACCTGTATCCCTTGTTGTTTTCTTTATTATTCTGAAGCATGTTAAGGAAGGAAGCAGTGTGGAAAAACAGATCTGCCTTAACATCTTGATCTGCTGCTCTGCTGTGGATGCAGAGCAAAGACAAAAAGCTCTCCTCTTTGCATAGCTTTCTAGTAAAAAGGAGGATTTAAATACACATACGCTAGAATAACTTCAATGTTAAGATACAGTTTATGAGTCCAAAATAAGAAGGGATGTTTTGTGCTAATTAAATATTAAGTAGTACTTTTACATATTACTTTATCCGTTCCAGGTGCATTATGGCTTATGCAGTGTGTATCTGTGTGTTTGCAGGAGGAAGAGAGAAGCTGTTTTGTGCGAACCTTTCCAAAGATGACTGAGACACAAGTGGATGTGGGCACGCAAACGGAGCCCGTGGTGGTGCTATCACTTGCTCAAGCTGCTGTTCTTGGGCTCATCTCCCAGAATGAAATATTTGGGGCCACCATTGCCCCGAATGGCTTTTACACAGGGGAGCCAAAAGAAGGCCCCCCTCCACCCCCTGAGTCAGTGGAGTATGAATATGCCGACCAGCTGATAGGTGCCAATGGGGACTACCTGCCTGAGCCGTCTGGGGAGCACGAGCCCCAGCCGCACTGTAGCGAGAGAAGACGACCTGGCCCCCGTGGGAGAACCAAGAGGCCCAGGAGTGATGGGGAGCTAGAATCTCCGCAGCAGAAAGAAGTTGCTCCACAGGCTCAGGTTAAAGGCGAAATACTTGATTCTGACATCCCTCCGCCCTGCATTCATATGAACAACAGAGACAGTCCTGGCAAGTCGGAGGATTCGGTAACCCATCATGCTTCCCCGAAAGAAGAACAGGCCTGTGGAAACTGTACATCATGTGTGAGAGACAAACCTGTGCCACAAACGGACGGACAAACCGAACAGGTGCAGGAAGATGGTTCTGTTAGGGAGACAGAGAGGAAGGAAGAAGAGTTAATGGTAGAAGAAGAAGAGGAGGAAGCACTGAACCTTAAGACAACTGGAGAAAATAGCAGTCCTCTGGAGAATCGTTATTATGATTCCAACGAGGTGGCCTACGAATCTTCTGATATGCCAATGCAAGGAGAATATGAGGAGAACAGCCAGCCCCAGGCCATGCTTTGGTCGGACCCAGAGGGGCTCGCCAGACGAATGCAGATTGACCGATTGGACATTAATGTACAGATTGATGAGTCTTACTGTGTTGATGTGGGAGAGGGTCTAAAACGCTGGAAATGTCGTATGTGTGAGAAGTCCTACACCTCTAAATATAATCTTGTCACTCATATCCTGGGTCATAATGGAATAAAGCCCCATGAGTGTGTGCACTGTGGGAAGCTTTTCAAGCAGCCGAGCCACCTTCAGACTCACCTGCTCACCCATCAGGGGACCCGACCCCATAAGTGCACAGTGTGTGAAAAGGCCTTTACACAGACCAGTCACCTGAAGAGGCACATGCTGCAGCACACAGATGTTAAACCTTACAGCTGCCGCTTCTGCGGTCGGGGCTTTGCCTACCCCAGCGAGTTGAGGACCCACGAGAACAAACACGAAAACGGTCAGTGCCATGTCTGCACCCAGTGTGGCCTTGAGTTTCCAACCTACGCCCACCTGAAGCGTCACCTAACCAGCCATCAAGGTCCAACCACTTACCAGTGTACAGAGTGCAACAAATCCTTTGCGTACCGGAGCCAGCTGCAGAACCATTTAATGAAGCATCAAAACGTTCGTCCCTATGTTTGTCCTGAGTGTGGGATGGAGTTTGTCCAGATCCACCACCTTCGACAGCATGCCCTCACACACAAGGTATGGGTGATGTGTCCACTTTACAATCAGCCAGTTAGCTAGCCTCATTGTGCTTTAGATTACTGAACCCTTATTTTAAACAAGATAAAAACAAAAAAAAATTCTGGATAGTCAGGATTAAATAAGTTATCAGTTTCTCTTCTTAGTGGAAGTTGCATTAATACAGTTGTAATATTAGATCAAATGTCATTATTGCATCAAAGCCTATTCTCTAAAACCGGTTGCTTTGCACACATTGCCTTCAAAGGCTTACGTTTTTGTTTGTTCAACCCCACACCCAACATGAGTGTTGCGTGATCTGCAAAAGCCTTTTCTCTTTACCTCTGGTTCACATAGTCTCTCTTACAGATGTATGATATATACTTTTTTATCTGTATGGTGGTTATTTTATTCACAAGTATAGCTGAATACCTTTTATTTCTTAGGTATTTATAACTGCCCCTGATTTAAATCTGATCCCCTTGTGTTTCCCTCCAGGGTATGAAAGAATTCAAGTGTGATGTGTGTGCCAGAGAGTTCACTCTGTCGGCCAACCTGAAGAGACACATGCTGATTCATGCCAGCGTGAGACCCTTCCAGTGCCACATCTGCTTCAAGACCTTCGTCCAGAAGCAGACCCTCAAAACGCACATGATTGTTCACCTCCCTGTCAAACCCTTCAAATGCAAGGTGGGTGTACCAAGCAGGAGACTTAGACAATCTTTATTGTCATCTTGTATACACAGTGTATACAAAAAATAAATTTTGATGCAGTGAATGAGCAACTTACTAGCATGAAATGAACATGATCATTTATAAAGTGCGGCAGTGATCAAGAATGTAGACAGTGTAGGAGAAAAAGAAAAAAAAACAGTTGACAGTCATGGTGCAAAAGGCATTGATGTGGAAAGGTTCAGTGCAGTGCAAAATAAATAGATATGGTGCAAAATGCAGCAGAATATTGAGTTGTGTTCTTTTTAAAGGGATTATGAAAAAACATCAGCCACATCGGTAGTGCAAATATGTTTTCAAGTGTGATTCAGTCTTTATTTAAGTTTCAACAGTTCAACATTCTGATGGCAGCAGGGAAGAAGCAAGTTTAGATGTCGGGTCTCATCGAACCAATGAACAATACTAATTCTTGTACTTTGTTTTTTTCCCCTGCAAAAGGTGTGCGGAAAGTCGTTCAACAGAATGTACAATCTACTTGGCCACATGCACCTCCATGCTGGCAGCAAGCCCTTCAAGTGCCCTTACTGCACCAGCAAGTTCAACCTGAAGGGCAACCTGAGTCGACACATGAAGGTTAAGCATGGCATTATGGACACCACAATTGATGGACATGGTGAGTGGCTTTTGCTCTTGTCCTAATTAGTCTGCTTAGAACAGATGAAGCTGATTAATTTGTTCATGGGGTCAGCGTGGCATGCTTCCAAGTGAGACTCTTCTGAGGGTTTCATGTCACAATTGTCACTTAGTCTGTGCCTAATGGACTTGGACTCAGCATGTACTGTAATGTAGAGGCCAAGCATTCTGATGTGTCTGTCACTCTCTCCCCATGTGTTTAGTAAATATAGCAGTGCCTGGATTAGACATGCCTGTCCCTATCAGTGAAGACTGATGCTGAGGACAGGCAATCTGCTGGCTTTCCTCAATGTGGCCATATTTCTATAGGAAGAGATCTATGCAGCAGCAAGGGTGTCTGTTATGGAAGGCAGCATAAGATTATATTTGTATCTTCCCCTTCCTTTGTCAGAGCCACCCAATGGGACGGAAGGCCAGGAGGAGTACGAAGAAGAGAGCTTTGAATTCAGTGAGCGAGAAAACCGCGCCAACAACAACACACCAGACGTGGCCAAGCTATCTCAAATGGAGTACTACAGCAATTATGGGAAGAGTACGGGGCGCTTTAGTGCAGCAGGGATAGTACCAAATACACAAAACTGAACATGTGTGTGAACTCAATTAACATAGATTTGTTTTATTGCAATTAAAAGAAAAAAAAAATGCTTAAGTTCATCCATAAAGGGATAGCTTGTATTTTTCAACTGAGGTTCTATGATAGTTTCGGCCAATAGTTTCATTGCCTGAAATTCAAAGACAATTTGAAGAAGATCTAGAAAAATTTGGGGAATGTGAGACAAACACAATGCTGTTTCTGATTTTAGCTGCTTTTTATCAACTCGTAATACTTATTTTGTTGGATAAAGTCCATATTAAGATTTGTCAAACATCTACGCTTTGATAAAGAAGCCCTCTCTAAGGCCTAAAAACGTAGCTCCTGTGCTTCGCATCAAAGCGCAGCAAATATATGCTAATTTATTTGGTCTCACTAGACAAAAAAAATTTCAATTCAAGTTATTTTAAGGTGATACAATCAGCTAAAAGAAGGAGTCCCTCTGACCAGCCAATAGTCTCATCATGCTGAGGATTTCTTCACTCTTCTACAAATTGATTGCAGTATAGCTAAGACTTTGTCTGCAGCATGTAGTGTAACTATTACAGATACTAACTTAAGACCTAATGTCAAAAAATCCAAACAATCCCTTTAAGAATGTGGACGCCTAGCAAACTGCACATTAATATGCACTGGAATCACTGACATTCTGAAAATGTGAAAAATTAATCTCTAGAGGTTATATTTTAAAAAGAGCAGCATAGAATAGAGTTTTTATTTAAGAATCCTGCTAATTTGCCAGTTGCTTAACAAGGTCATCATCTGAACCCTAAAATAGCACACTTTGAACAAGAGGAGATGCATGTTATATTGCACTTACTCAGACAATCCCAGTATCTCTCAGTGTGCTGGGGTTTCACCGGTGTGAGCGGTGAAGGAAGGGAACAGGTGTTCTTTCACCTACCAAAGCTTATCAAAAGGTTAATGATTCACCTCGATTTATACTGTGAAGAATAAAAGCTCTGTTAAAAAAAAAAAAAGGAATCCACTTTAGTTCTGTGCTTTACTGTATATTACTGTACAGCGTATCAGTCCTGCTGTATGTTGGCTGGTACTGGTGCTTGCACTAGAGGACCACTGTGTCTACTTTTTACTTTCTCATCAAGCATCCTCCCCTCCATTGATCTCTTATCTATGAATGTAACTGTTTCTGTGGAATGTTTTCAGGCAAATTCAAACAGCCTTTTTTTTAATGCTTTGACCCCTTTACCAAAGAATTTGACGAACCTTGCAGCTATGGGCAAGTTCCTTTTTTTACCTCGCAATTCTGTCGAGCTGGGACATTGAATTTCCCCGACTTTATGAAATTACATCCAGGTTTCCCCTCCTATCCAATTTTTTGATCTCCGCAAAAGATTACCATGGAAATAAAAGCTGTGGTGCAGAATCTCTTTGAACAAACCCTACCTTCCTCCCGTAAAATCAGAGATTCTGCAAAGGCAACGCTGTAAAACACATTTACAAAGCGGCTCCATATTTTTTTATTTTTGGATTTTTAAATGGGTAACTCTTGAATAGAATTGTCCCCCTCAGAAAAAAACAAAAGAAAAAACACTTTGGACAGAAATATTAAGTGGCCCAGAGTGTGCGAGAGCACACCATCCATCATGCCGTGTACGGCTCTCAAGTGATGAACGACAGCCTCCCGACATGTGACAGGGCCGTGGACCTTGCGAAAGATGCGGAAATCTTTAAAATAATCAGTTTTACACTGCTCAGCTTTTTTTTTTTTTTCCCACACCAAACTTGCAACCTCCAAAAAAGTTTCCTCATTTAAAATTGTTGATACTGTGCATTACAAATAAAAAGTGCTATTCTTTGGTGGTTCATTTCCTTCAGCTTCTGTGTTTACTGCATCAATCTTAGCAACTATACAAAAAGGGGAAGATACTCATCCTAAACAGCTTTCCATTTTAGACTTAAGTGTGAAGATGATATGAATAGAGATGTATGTACAATGTTGTGTACCAGGCAGAATTGTCTAATAAATTTATTTACCTTAATTCTCCTGAGTTTTTAATAAAAAAAAAACACAAAGATAAACATCGGTCAAACAAGATTTATTGGCAAGCATGTCTGACAGTCTTTGATCCTGCTCCAGGCATAACACAGCACTGAGTACATTACACATTACAAAAATAAAACTTGCACATTATGGGTCAGGTGTTTATGGGGTCATCAGATGGAAAGACGACTTGTGTCATTTCATTGTCTAAAAGAACACTATTTAATCCTACAGTGTATGCTCTCTCAGGTAAAACGCAAGTGGATTTGTTGACCTTTCAAGTTAAAAATGAGGTACAAAAACTTAAGAGTGACATTGCCACCTCCTGGCTCTTATTGTCGTTTCAAGTCCTTCACTTGCCGAGGGCCTTTTCCAGATTTTTCTTGATGGCGTCGAGGAAATCTGTAGTATTCACATAGTGCTCATTCAGCTTCACACTGGAAATTAAGCAAAAAGAAGGAAAATCAAGCCAACTACAAACACCTCTTGATTAATAACGCAATAACAATTATAAGGTTTCTTTTTTTTAAAAAAAGGATCAATAAGGAAAAATATAAATTTAGTAATCCATCAAATAATTTCTGATCCTCATTCAAATATTATTGCATAACATTTTCCTACTAAATCTTTAATTTACTTATTTGTTGAAACCTTTTTGAACCAAATAATTAATTTCCCCTTAACAAAACCTTTCAAAATGGTGAGGATACCATGTAAAAAAAAAAATCCATGTACAGTTAGGCAAACGTAGCAGTCTTAAAAAAAAAAAAAAGTTTGAAACTGTTTTACAGAAGCACACGGGTTTAAAGATATACTTTTCAGTTTCATGTCAGTAATGGCTTAACGCTCCAATATACAGATGCTCTAAAAACCAACTGGATTTATTCCCTAAACTATGGCTGCACCTTATCAGGTATTAAATGATTAATTTCTAAATTATGTTTTCAAATGAACTTGTTCTTAAAATGGTTTAAAGTAAAAAAAAAAAAAAAGTTAAACTTTCTCAGGTGTGTATCAGCACAAGCCGAGAACAAAATAGTAAGAACAACAAACGGACAAAATTTCCTTCAAGTTTCAATTTCTGTATACATTACATAAGAAAAACAAAACTTAGGTATTCCTTGTCTTAGCTTTAGGTTTTTTAAATAGTCTTATTTAATTAGTCAGCATTCCCACACATATCATATTGTAAGATCCTCCATATCCCAGACTACCTTATAGACCTCCAATTTATCATGAAATATAAAACACTCAAGTTGACTATATATTTATCACAAATATATTTTTTCATCTTTAAGATTATTTATATGAACAACAAAAACCAGAAACAACAAAACTGGAAGGGAGGAAGGAAAAGAAAATAAAAAATAGGTGGACACAGGAAAAAAGACAAGGTAAAGAAGAATCGTGAAAAGAGGGAGCGAAAGAAAAATGACACACATGGGGGAAAGCAAAGTTGGAAAAAAAAGAGGAGGATATAAGGAAGGCAGGAAAGCAGTGAAAGAATAATGGGCAGAAGGAAGAACAAGAGGGAGGGAGTTGTGAGACAAGGAAGGAATAAAAAAGAAGAGGGGAATGTAAGACAAGAATAGAAGAAATGAGGGCAGAAAGAAGAGCATGAGGGAGGGGGGGAGGAAGTTGGGACCCAAGGAAGGGAGAAATGAAGAATGAGGAACAAAGAAAGGAAGGGGAGAAGGAAGACTATGAGAAAGGCAAACAGGACACCTGCAAGGATGAAAGGTGGCAAGGAAAGAGATAAGATAGGAGTGAAGGGACTCAAAGGAGGAAGGATATAACATTTACAAAGGAGGGAAGTCTGGAAATTAAGATTTTTTTCCCCCCATTCCATATTCTGTTTCCCTACTAATACAGACATGGAAAAAGTGTTGAAGAAAAAGTCATTTAATTTTCTAGACAATCATGGACTGAATAGGAACTCTGATAAGTGAAAAAAGGATTAACTGAGTGTTATCCAAATAGATTAAGCATTTGTAAAGTATCAGGGCATGTTTTAGTCATACAACATGATTACAAGATTGAGGACTTTCTTCTCTTTTTTTTCGTTTCCTTTTTGGGTTCCCACACATATTTATATAAAAAATGCATTTTCTTTTCCAGAGAAGTCAAGTGTGAATTTATAGCAGCCACTTCTACAGCAGCCAGGCCTCAAACATGTAACCCAGAAAAACCACTGACTAATAGGAGGGAAGGAAGGACAGACAGACAGATGGGAGGACGCATCAATGAATGAATGGACAGTTGGATGAATGATGGGCAGATGGATAATTAACAGATGGATGGATGGCTATAGGAACAGATGGATTGAAGAATAGATGGATAGGTGGTGGTGGTGGTGGGGGGGGCATCTTAAACAATAGGATGGGAGATAAAGAGTAGAAAATATATATCCAGTTATATCTGATATAATATACCTGACAAAAATTGTCTTCATAAACTTTTTTTTTTTAAATAAAGCATTTTAAATGGCACAATAATTACATTTAATTAATTTTAGTGCCAATTAAGGCCCTCATTTAAAAAAAAACAATTTCATGACTTTTAATGACCCTCAGAAACCCTGACATTACGCATCAACACACATCACAAAAATACAGTGATCTCTATAAATAATAATAATAAATATGTGATTTTAGACTTAGCCACTAAAAACTTTTCTCATCTACTACCTGAGCCTGGAGAAGTAATCGACCTCTAAAACAAAACAAAATATTAAAAATTAACCTTGCGTGAAAGTATATAGGAATCAATGCAAACTTGTGACCTGCTGTGAGAATTTTGAGGCTGCCATGCAAGCTTTGAATATCCACAATTACTAGCTCAAAAGTACTTAGACTTAAAAGACTTAACTATGATGGATGACTTATAAGCTTGTTTAGTTTGTCCAGTGCAAAGAGGGGAACTAAACATTTCAGTGTAGTTCAAGATCTAACTACCCCTCTGTGTTTTTTAGGAAGGTGCTGAACAGCAGGCTGGGGTATTTAACAGTTACTTTCAGCCAAACCATGACAGCCACACCTGCAGGTTATATTACACAAAGTTGGAACCTCAGGTAGGGTTTTGTTGTTTCAGAATAAATGCAATCCCGTCTGCCCGTGTATCATTTAATTTGAAAATTTCACCGGATCCACTTTGCTTTTTAACCACTGACTTCCTGCCTGAAGGATCCGCTCTACTCCAGATTGATGAGGAATCTATCTAGAGTAGAGTTGATTGAGTTTCTTTCTAATAATAAATGAATGACAGGATGAGAATGCTAATAACTTCACAGCCCTGCACCATATTAAGAGTAAATGATTAAGTTCCAGCATATTGCAAACACTGGCCTCTCAAGCTTCATTCTAACAGTCAGTGGGCGTACGTTTTTGTGTGGAGCTGATCATCCAATAAGACAACTTGAGAAAAGAAGTCACCTTAAGACATCTTATTTTTAAGTCTTTCATCAACCTACAATAGAACTGTTAGGAGGAAAAAAGTTGCACAATTTTATGAAATCTACACAATTTTATTAGAATATATCATCACTTAGGTTGGAAATGGAATTATTATTTCAACGAATGATGCTTTTAGTAGATTTGTATGAAAACTAAAAACTTAAAACAAGGCAGCTGAAAGATTTCATCCAACTAAAGAAAACAAGAGCCTTAAAAACATGTTTAGTTTCTCATAAACTGCAACACAAACCAATTAGCGGAATGAATAAAAATGCTATTTGATGTTTCCTTTACACCATTCCTACAATCTGGCTACTAACAACAACAGAAAAGTCCAATACGTTCCTCCAAATGAACACCTCTGGGGTGCTTTTCTCTTGCTGTTGGAACTGAAATAAACAACAGCTCTCCCCCTCCTGGCTGCACACTGCCTGTCAGTTGGCAGGTCTAAGCCTACTATACAATATGGCTATGGAGCAAAAATAATACAACTGTTGTGTGGTAAATAAACAGGATCACAGTTCACCCATATTTATATAGGTTTGTTTAGCCTGTATAACTGATCAGATGAGGCTGGAGTTTTACTGAAAAGAGCAGAACAGCAATGACTGCTGTAAATACTGAAACTATTAAACTTACTATTCAAAACATTTAAATTTGTAGAGGTCAAGAGTTTTAAGACAAGGCTCCAAAAAGCATTTTCTAAAACATGAATACTAAAATAACAAACTTACTTGGAGAGGCCGTGGATGCAGCCTGCAAGGTCCTTGGTCATGACGCCGCTCTCGACGGTTTCAACACACACCCTCTCTAGCGTCTGGGAAAACCTATAAACACAATAAACAGTTAGAAAACCTAGTTTTTCACCCTAAGGCTGGAGTGTTCCCAGACATATTAGACTTCTCACTTTATGAGGTCGGGGTTGCCATCAAGTTTTCCACGATGCTCCAAGCCTCTCGTCCAGGCGAAGATGCTGGCGATGGGGTTTGTGCTGGTAGGTCTCCCCTGAGAGCAAAATAACCAACTAGAAATGAGCTACCACACATGTACACCTCACAACAGAAAATAACATCAAACTTATT